AAAAAAAAAAAAAAAAAAAAAAAAAAAAAAAGAGCTAGTTGTAATGCAATGGAAAACTCTGAGCTTGGAATTAGGAGGCAGGTTCGAAAGCTAAGTTTGCATGGGCAGGTAGGAGACTTGAGCCAGTTACCTTCTTCTGTGAGCAGCTTTTGTATCTCAGAAAGGGAAATCAATCTAAAGACTTGCCTCTCAGAGCTTTTGTCAGGGTCCAGTGAAGTCATTTATGGGAAAGTAAATACCACATGCTTTGCTGGTGCTCAGTAGATATTTGTTGAGTTTACCAGATATGATAGTCAAAATATTTAACAAGTGGCAGTGCACATCCACTAACCAGTGAGAATGGTGCTAGTGGTCCTGCCCCATGCCAGGCCTTAGGTCAAATTGAGAGGCACCCTGGTGGGGGAAAGACTAGCTTGTCTGACAGTGTGTGGGGGTGGATGAGGGGAAGCTTGGGCTATTTGCCAATGAAGTATTTTCATATTTTAATAACTGGTTGACTGCCATGGTGCATGCTGGTGAACTTATTGTTAGAGTTGACATAGGAAGTGTTTTCCATGGCTGTATTCCAGCCAATGTGTAAGCCAGGGAAAGAAGAGTGTATTTCCCCCCAGCTCCTCCTCTCCATGCTTGTGGAAGCCAAGCAGGCTTTGTGATGATTTCTGCCTTGAAGGAGGCAGAGGTGGGCACATGGTGGGTTGTCCTGGGAGCCCTGACTGAGGAGCTCTGCAGTGTCTGGAGATGTGATGGGCACAGCCCTATCTGTTCCCTTGCCCCTTAGAAGGACACCCTAACCCCAGCTTCCCACCCACTACCCACGCATTACCTCATAGTCCGGGTTGGGAACAGGTGGCGGCCTCTCCTTGTTTTGTCCTGTAGGGGAGAGAAGGTAAAAGTATTTTCCACCCACAAAGCAACATTAATCTTGCGGGGCTGACTGCTGCAGTGACATGAGCTCAAGGATAGCAGTCCCCTTTGTCTCCCCTTCTGTGTCTCCCTTATCCATGCACGAGACCTTTCTTTTCTTTCTTTCTTTTTCTTTTTTTTTTTTTTTCAGGACCTTCATACTGAGTTACACCCCCCCCTTTGAGACAGGGTCTCACAGTCACTGAGTTGTGCGGGCTGGGTTTGAACTCCTGCTCAGCTTCCCAGAGCACTGGAATTGCAGGGCTGGGCCACTACACCTGGTTTCTTTTCTCTTCTCTTTCCTTCATCCCATGCTCACACTACTCTCCTCAGTTTGTGACTTTTCTCAGCCCAGGTGCTCCTGTTGTTTCTTTTCATGAGAGGAGGGAAAGGAAAAGGCAGGGACACCCCAAAATCCCTCTTCCAATGGCCCGGGGACAGGCTCTGCTTCCTGCAGAGCACTAGCAGGCTTTTGCAGAGGCTGTCTTATTAAAAAGCATCGTCATGCTTTTCTGGAGATCTTGGTACCAGCATGAATGTTCTAAAGAAGCTGTTTGACCTTGCTGTGGACTCTTGGTCCTTCCTAACCCAGGCTGGGTGCCCGCTGGTGGAAATGCTCTTTAACACCGCTTTGTGGTCTTACCCCTGGGCCTGCCCCCGCCTCCGGTTCCTCTTTTCACAGGCTTGGCCTTAGCCTTCCTATTCTTGCTCCAGTAATAAACCGACACCAGTAAGCCTAGCGTGATGCAGATGTCCACTATGATGATCGTGAAGACAGCTGTCAGATCAACCTCCATGCAGTTCTCACACACTGCGGGGGACAGAGTAGGGAGAAGAGGAGAAATGAAGCCGAAGGGGAAACCACAGGACACTGGAGAAGAGGAAGGAACAAATGAAGGTGCTCCTCCCCTGGACACTCACACACTTGCTGTGGCCGAGCCCTCCCCTTCAGTGTGTGGATAACAAGGATAAAGTGGAGCTGGGGATTTAGCTCAGCAGCACAGCGCTGCCTGGCAAGTGCAAGGTCGTGAGTGTTGTGAGTTCGATTCCCGGTACTGGGAAAAAAACCAAAACAACAACAACAACAAGGATAAAGACAAGCCTCAGTTAAACCTTCATTACTCAATAGTTATGGGAATTGTGAAATGAATTTTCAATCCACAAAGCCTCTGTTTCCTCATCTACAAAATGGAAATAAAATAGTACTTAACTCGTGGCTGTTGAAAAGCTTATATGAAAATAATTCCTGGCTAGTGTAGGGATTTTGGGTACTACGCTTAAAACATTATAAGCACTTGATAAATGCTAGCACCCATCATTGTTTTATTATGCTTCATCTTAGGAGGTTTTTATTTTTTATTTATTTTTATGTTTATTTGATTTTTTTTACCTTTTTCTTTTTTTTTCATTTTTTGGCTTTTTGAGACAGGGTGTTGCTCCATAATTTACGCTGGCCTTGAACTCACTACATAGCCCAGGCTGGTCTCAAACTTGCAGCGATCCTCCTACCTCAGCCTCCCGAGTGCTGGGATGATAGGCATGTGCCACTATGCCTGGCTATTCTTTTGGTGCTTGAGACAGGGTCTTACTGTGTCGTCCAGGCTGGCTTTGAACTCACTATGTAGCCCAGGCTGGCCTCGAACTTATACTGGAGTGCCATTGCTTCTGGGAGTGACCCAGTATAAGTGACCCAGCTTTGTCTCTTGGGAAGTTATATAGCACTGACTGAGGTTTCTCAGAAAGCTCTCTGTTGGTATTTAATCTGCATTCCAGAAAATGTAGATGCTGTGAGCTCCGAGAGAGTCCCAGGATGAGTGTTTTAGGAAGCCTTGAGATGCCTGGAGACTGCAGGTGGGGTTGGGGAAGTCAGTGAGAATGGCCATTTGAAATGATCCTCTTACCTCTAGCTTTCAGGTAGAGGTAGTAGTCCTTGTCTGAGTTGCTCTTAAAGCAGGCATAATAACCACTGTGCTCCAATTCTGAAAAGTTCTCAATTGTTAGTCGTTCAGGATTTTCAACGGTTACGTTTCCATGATTTTTTTCCCATTGTATTGATTCTGTTGAAGGATCCAAAAAGCATGTCACCTCTACCGTGGTTCCGGAGATGGAGACTTTATATTCTGAGAAATGGAAGAGAAGAGATGGGAAATTGGATGGAGAAACCCAGAAAATTTCAGCAAAAGGCAAATTAGTGACAAAAGAACTAAACAAATGGAGAAAGTCCCTTGTCACCTGGGTCTTAGACTTGCTTGTCAGAAGGGAGGCTTCCTGGCTAGAGGGTGTGGAGAGGGGATGTGTGGGAGGAGGAGGGGCAGAGAACCTTCCGGAAGGTGGCCTCAGAGTTTAGGCAGGAACACGGGGACTTGGAAAGGGGAAACTGGAAGTAAAGAAAACCTCACAAGACTCTCTCATTTGCAAGCTTTCTAGAATCGGGGCTGGGCATGCATAGTGGAGAGATTCTCAGTTCATGGGCTAGTGTCTCTCAGTTTCCTCTCCTCTACCCACCAATCTGCATCCCCAGACAAAAGCATAAATGACCATAAACTCACGTTTTGGTGTGTCATTGTCTGGGAATTTAAAAAGAAAGGAAACAGTGTTAAGAAAGAAAAAATCCTGATTTAAGTAAAATTTTTCTAATGGGACTAAACAATGCTCCCAAGAATTCTCAAAGTGGGTGTCACTACTCAGGGGCCCAAAGCTTTGAAGGTGAGGTATGTACTTAGCCCAGAGATACACTCACTGATATACTGGAACTCACACACATCAAACTGTCCTTGACCCAAACCTACCAAAAACTCAGAAAACCTTAAAGTCAGAAGGCTGAAAACTTCTAGAAATCTTCCTGCATTAGCCAGAACCTTCTTCCATACATATATAGAAAGGTTCTTTTTCAAAGATAAAGACCTCCACACATTTGAATCGCCGAGTCTTGGGCTTATTAATTTCTTATTATTCAGATTTCTTTCTTATAACAGAGTCTTCCATAATGGAGATCAAACATTTTATTCTGCATAATTTTCTCTGTTGTCTTTTTTAAAAAATAAGATGTATGTATCATGCTAAAGAACAGATTTTCTTCTTCATTTTACCAAAACACTAAAATAGCACAAGGCATAGTCTCTGTTGTCTTTAGATGACTTGAACTACTCTACATATTTTGTTTTGCAGTACTGGAGATCAAATCCACTCTGCTAGGCACATTTTTCCATGGAGCTACATCCCCAGCCTCTGCTTTACCCATTTGAAAGGAATGGCTCTTCCAATAAAAAGTGGCTTTACTTTATCTCTGAGTACAATGAGCTCTCAGCTATTTTTGCTTGACGGGGGGGGGGGGGGGGGGGGAGCACTGGTGTGAACTGAAATCCACTAATGTAATTTGGGGAGCCAGCAACATTCCCCACAGCCCTGGGAAGTGGGGCCGGGCGTCTTTGTGCCCTGGAAGACCTGTGGCTGGAACAAGGGGCAGCGCTAGGCTTTGCCAGACCCTGTACATGACGGGTGGGAGAGGGGAGAGGGGGCAGTGCCCAGAGATGACGCACTACTCAGGAAAGAGACAGAGCCTCATGTTTGAATCTCAGGTCTGCCCTTGGCTGTGGGAGAGAGGGCAGGTCATTTAACCTCTCTGAGTTTCAATTTCTTCACGAGGGAAATGGAGATAAAATGCCCTCCTAATAGGGTTTTTACAAGAATTAAGTGAATTCTGAAAGTGGAAGTCAAGACAGATGTTAGTTTCTTTCCTCCTTTCCTGCTTGAGTTCCTGCTACCATAGAGAACTGAGCTCAAACCAGCTGTTCCGGCAGCCAGCCGGCTGAGACTGCATACAGCATAAAGAAATCCTTCACTACCTGCTAATAATCGGGAGTTGAATAAAATGACAATAGATAATACTATTCTGACTTACTAATTTTTTAGCATTTTTTTTTTTTTCTGGTCTTTTTGAGACAGGGTTTCTATGCAGTTCAGACTGGCCTTGAATTCACTTTGTAGCCCAGGCTGGCCTCAAACTCGCAGTGATCCTCTGTCTCAACCTCCTGAGTGCTGGGATTATAGGCGTGCGCCACCATACTCAGCCTGCGTTGATGTTTTTAAAGAAATGTAACACAAACAGGAACTCATAAATACTTAAAAGTGACTAGAAGCCAGTATAGTCCCACATGCCTGCAATCTCAGCCTGGAGAGTCTCAGACTCTGAGAGACTAAGGAAGGAGGATCACAAGTTTGAGCCCAGTCTGGGCGATTTAGTGGAATCTTGTCTCAAAATGTAAAAAGGGCTGCGGATGTAGCTTAGTCTGAAGGTCCTGGTTTCAATCTCTAGGACTAAAAACAAGACAAAACAAATAACTAGATACTACATTCTGTTTGATAGGTTTGCGAAAAAGAAACATAAAGAAAATTGCTTATACCCTTTTTTTGCCACAGATTGGTAGCAGAGATATTAGACTGAGCAGGCTCATTCAAGGGCCTAGATGTTTACGCTTGGAAACAGTGTGTTCAGAAAAATTGTATATATAGCGATTTTTATACACATCATGGTATTTCATAATGGTTAAAAATGTGCTTCAGTGTCATAAAAATTTGGATTTATATGTCTGTGAATTGGCTACTTATTTCTTTTCTTTTCTTTTTCTTTTTTTTGTCTTTTTGAGACAGGGTCTTGCTATGCAGTTCAGGCTGGCCTTGAGCTCACTTTGTGGCCCAGGCTGGCCTTGAACTCACAATGATCCTCCTGCCTCAGCCTCCTGAGTGCTGGTATTACAGGCATGAGCCACCACACCCGGCTTATTTATTTATTTTCTAAGCTTTTGTTTCCTAATCTATAAAATAGAAATGGATGTTAGAAGATTTTTTTTTCTTTTCTTTTTGTGGTAAAAGGGCTTTTCCACTGAACTAGATCACTTGCTCTTTTCTATTTTGGGATGAGGTCTTGCTAAGTTGCCCCAGCTAAGTTTTAACTCACAATCTTCCTGCCTCTCAGAGTGCTGGGATCACAGTTGTGTGCTATCACACCGGGCATGAAGATGAGTTGTGCCCCTTAACCCCACCCCATACTGGGGACTGAACCCAGAACCTTGGGCGTGTGGGGCAAGCACTCTACCACTGCACTACATTCTCAACCCAGCATTAGAAGAACTAAAAGGAGAAATGCAGGTAAAACATTCAGAGCAATAACTAGAGCATCCAGGCCCAGTGAATTTTATGCTCATTGTCAGTGTTTTTTCTGTATAATCATAGCTAAAATTCACCTACTCTCTTCTATGTCAGCTGACTTCTTAAATGAAATACATACTCAACCCTTGTATCAACACCACAAGCTAGATGCTGTGTGATTATTACTGCATTTCCATTGTACACAAGACGATGATACTACACAGAGAAGTTAAGTAAATTATTCAAAGATACCCAGCAAGTAGATAATTGAGCCAGCATTCAAACATGGTGATCTAACTTCAGAGTTAGGACTCTTACTGTATGGCTTTTATCTCCTTTGCCTAAAATATTCCTCTTCCAGGAATACAAGCTCATCCTTTAAAATTCAGCTGAAGAATCACCTCCCCAATAGACTTCTTCCATTATACCCTCCTGTCTTTATAAAACATGTTATGCTGTGTCTTCCCATGTAATTGCACACAACACATTCTATTAGCAATTATTTGTCTCTCGAGACGGTTGGCTTCTTTAGGACAGGGAATTAGCAAAGCATCCACTTTTTGCTCATTCAAAAAATATTCATTGGAGCTGGGCATGATGGTGTCCACTTGCAATTACAACTACTCAGGAGGCTGAGGCAGGAGGATCATAAATTCAGGGCCAGCCTGAACAATTTAGTGAGATTCTGTTTCAAAATTAAAAAAAAAAAAAAGTAGAAAGAGTTGGAGGTCTAGCTCAGTGGTAGAGTGCTTGTGTTGCATGTGCCAGGTTTTGGGTTTAATCCTCAGCACTGCAGAACAAAAATTCATTGAGCATCTACTACGAGCCAGCCCCTGGGCTAAGTAAATGAGGCACTGTCTTTGCCTTTAAGGAACTCATGGTTTATTCAAAAACACAGAGAAGCTCCAACCCATACCCGCACATGTGTTTTCCCCTCTCAGCATGCTCAGGGATGCTCATGTGCATGGCTATAATCAGGGCAGCTCACAACAAATGCAGGCACATCTCATGTAGACCTCATGGGAAGATAACTGTATTTTCCCTCTAACAGCTCTGGTTCTCAGTGTTTACTCCTACGATTGTCCCCTATGACCATCTTGACCCACATTTGAAAAGAAATTGTACAGAATGCAAATCCTCTTACCAGCATTGTCGATACCTGAAAAAGAAATGATAAGCTGTTAGCAATATTCCTACCAGCAACTATGCTCATTCCCTGCCCTTGCGGTTAGGATCTTCCAATTCCTTTGGCTGTATATGACGAGCTGCTTGAGGCCTTATGTTCTACATTAAGTATCTGATGGCCATTTGCAAAAATGGTTCCTAGGAACAGCTCCAGATAGGCAGTGCAGTGGAAAGTGGATAGCACAGTGTTGCTTCTGAACACAGCAGAAGGAGGAGTTAATTGAACAGAGGCTTCCAGTACTGGGACACTGCGGACTCTGCGGCTGTGATAGAGAATGCAAGTCCAGGGCAGGCGTGCATGTACACCGCAGACACACGCATCGGAGCACTCAGACATGAGATTCTCAGTGTGCCTCCAAACACGGCCTGGAGGCTGAGCCAGGCTCACCTTGTACGTGCATTCTGGCCGGTTGCATGTCCTGTGTAAAATTTCACAGCAAATAGAAATGCAAACAAATGAAAACTGTTGGTACTTTCAGCTGAATTTAACGGTCTCTTTTTTTTTTTTTTTTTTTTTTTGAGCAGTTAAGACTCATTTCTTACAGTCTTTGTTGATTGTTGCTTCTGGGCTAGATTTATAAGGAAAAGGCAAAGGAAAGTAGTAGAAACCCCTTTTACTAGTTTTGTGGGAGCTGTGTAGGAGAAAACTCCACTCAAATACAGCCAATTTTGAGGAACGTGTCGCAGGGTTTTATCATTATATGAGAATCACAGAGGGTACTCACACAAACCTAGATAGCATAGCTACTGCATACCTAGTCTATATGGTATATAGCCTGTTGCTCCTAGACTATAAATTGTAGCGCATGGTACTGTACGGATTACGGTAGACAATTGGAACACAATAGTATCTGTGCACCTAAACATATCTGAACAGAAAAGATACAGCAAAAATACTTGGTGATAGACATTTTTCAGCTGTGCTATAATCTTATGGAATCACTGTTGTATATTTGGCCACTTATTGACTGAAACTTTTTTTTTTTTTTTTTTTTTTGGTACTATGAATCAAACTCAGGACCTTGCACTTGCCAGCAGGCACTGTGCCACAGAGCTATATCCCTAGCGCTGAAACACTGTTATTAGTGCATGGTAGTACCAAAAATTTGGGCTTGATTTTATAACAAAGAAAGTAAGCATGGGGGCTGGGGATTTAGCTCAGTGGCACAGCGCCTGCCTGGCAAGCGCAAGGTCATGAGTTGGATTCCCGGTACCGGAAAAACAAAACAAAACAAAACAAAAAAAGAAAGCAAGCATATCTTACCTTCCTGCCCCCAAGCGCCAACTAGGAAAAAAAAAAAAAAAAAAAAAAAGAGTTAGCAAATGTTGTGATTGCCTGCAATTCCAAGCAGAAACAGGACCCTGGTCCATTCTGACCATGAATGAAGATCTCAAGTCCTTCCCAACAACTGCTGGATTACTGTCATTACTATAATTCAGAACAGTGACACTTACTACTAGGTGGGAGGAGAGAGAGCAAGGGAAATCAAGCCCCGAGTGTGAATACATGGTGTTTGATCAACAGAAGTCAGAAGAAAAAGTTGAGGCTGCTTTTCGGAAGACTAGAAAAATAGCAAAAGAATTTTGCAATCAAGTCTCCATTTTTAAAATTGGTCTCTGACTGGAAGAAAAAGAAGCTCTTGGCTGGGTACACATGTTGAGATTCCAGTTCTGTCTCTGGCTCCTCCTAGCTTAATGGTTCACTTTTTCCTTTTGTTTTCTGCTTGAGACAGGGGCAGAAATATTTGAAACTAATTACTCATCAACTATAGCCTATGCGGTAAAGAAACGGATTATATTTCTTCTGGGCCCTTAAGCGTCCCCTCAAGAATGAGTTGGAGGTGTTACCATGGCCAGCTTTCCTGCCATTCCCTGAGTTTTCTGTTTACCAACAGCCTCTACATTGGGTGAGACATTCTTCCAGCCCAGAGCAGACTGAGCACTTTCTCGTGACACCAAATTTCTAGGGATGCTTGGGTCTTTGATATGTCCTCTTTTTTCCTTTCCTTTTTTTTTTTTTTTTTCTTTCCTTTTTGCTTTACATTGCACTGCCTTGCCTTTTCCTTAGTAGGAGCACACTTTATACCACTGATCTCTAAGAAAATGTCTGGCGTCCCTGCAGGAGTCATATTCCACCCCTTGAGACTCAAAGTGTATTCTTTGCCTACTCACAGATGAATGCCCTTGGGAGCTTATTAGAAATGTGGAATCTCAGTTCTAAAACAGAGCTGCATTTTAACAGGGTCCCTGGGTGATCTGTGTCCATACTAAAGCCTGATAAATGCAAGCAGGAAGTGAGTTGTGTAATGGCTGTGCTCTGAGATAGGCCCCTCAGCTGTAATGGTATTTTCTAGCTCTTTGAAATAAAATCATCATGCGCTGTTTTGCCTCGCACAATGCAGATGTCCTGAGCAATACTAATCATCCAGATTAGCTCCAGCACTCATCATATTATTGCAAATAAGTTGTGTAACTTCTTTTATTTATTTTTTTATGTGTAAAATAGGAGATAAAACGCTTTTCTTCTAAGGTGGAGGTAAGGATTATATAGGTTAACACGAGTAAAAATTTTTTCTTTACATAATATTAGCACTCAATAAACAGCATTTAAAAACATTATATCAGATGAGAGATGCAAGCGCTGTCCATTTTTCATCAATTTACATGCTACCTTGCTTCAAAAAGGACTAAGTTAATTGAAAGCTCTCAGTCACCTGAAAAGGGCTGAAAACTATAACGTGCTTAACTCTATCAAAGATACTAAATTTGCTAACTCTGTGCAGAGCTTGGGTGCAACAACTTAGTCTCCTCAAAACAAAAAGTGGAGTTTAGTTCTCATCTCTTTTGTGTTAGCTCCTAAGGGCTGGGTAAGTTTGCCGACAGACGGGCTTGTTCTCGGTGGCAGAGAGACCTCTTTGCTCTCGACTGAGACCATCATCCCATCTGCTTTTTCTGGCTCTTTCCCTGAATGGTCTCCCACGCACCCGTGCACATTTCTTTTGTCTGCCTCCATCTCTGACCCCTGCTCTAATGGTCGCACGAACAGTTCCTCACGTTCTCTGGTAAATGAGACGCCTTAGCATTCCTGTGCTGTATCTGGTAAGGCCCTGGGCCTCCCAGTGTCTGGAGAAACCGCCCTCCTTCATCCCAGCCCACTCACCTGAGAGGAGGCAGAGCCCCAGAACTCTCCAGAGAGCGCCCGACTGCATTCTTCCTTCACTGGACGGCTGTTCTAAGATGGCGGCGATGACAGCCTCAGTTTATTCCTTCTGAAAAGGAAACCCGGACATTTTCAGAAAGGGACATTTTTGACACATGCGCTGGGTACAAGTCCCTGGGGTCTTTGTTCCCAGTGCTAGGGTGAACAAGGGAGGTGCTGTCGGAGGAGACTCACCATTTTCTGAAGCAGACACCTGAGGCTGGGAGAGGAGGCGGGTTTCTGTGCTCCACACAGGAAGTGTTGAGGGGCCTCTAGGCCCGTGGGTTCTACGTCACTTGGCAGTGTTCAAGGCAGAGGCCTCCACCTGGATGGCTAAGGAAAGCTGGGCCCCACAGACTTTCCGTAAGGATGAGCAAGAGGCTTCCGGCAAAACTTGAAGGCGCTATGATAAGGTGCTGTTTAATTGCCTGCGCCATGCACAGCGTCCCTAGCATCTGCTTTCTCAGATGCCCCTTCCCCCCATAAGCTGTGACAGGAAGACAGAGGAGCACTGAATGTTTGTTTTCTTCATGGTGTGCCCGGCATATAACAGCTGGATGGAGCCATTGCATTGACAAGATCTCTTGGCTTGCAAATATGTATGTGTTTAAAATCATGAGATGCCATTTCCCCCCTATAATCTTTGCAAAAATAATTAGAAACGCGATACTCCATGTTAGGAAGGTGAAGGGTGACAGTCTCAAATCTGCTTGTCTAAGGGTGAGCTGACGGTGTTCCTTTGTTGTTGTTGTTGTTGTTGTTGTCTTTTTGGGATAGGGTCTCACTACGCAGTTCAGGCTGTGCTTAAACTTAGTTTGTAAGTTTAAACTTAGTTTGGCCCCAAACTCACAGCAACCCCCCTGCCTCAGCCTCCTGAGTGCTGGGAGTACAGGTGTGTGTCACCATGCCTGGCTATTTTCCTTGTTTTTAAGCATGCAATAATAAAAAGCTTACTATATCCTGGAATTGTGCTAAGGGCTGACATATCTCATTTAATCCTCAAAACAGTACTCTAAAATAGTTTTTGTTTTTTGGAGACAGGATCTTGCTATGCAGTTCAGGCTGGCCTTGAGCTCACTTTGTAGCCCAGGCTGGCCTCGAACTTGCAATGATCCTCTTGCCTCAGCCTCCCTAATGCTGGGATTACAGGCGTGCGCCACCATGCCTGGCTCTAGGTATTATTATTATTATTATTATTTTAGTTTAGGTATTATTTTTATCTCCATTTTATGCTGAGCAAACCAAATCTCAGACAGTTTATAACTTGTTGCAGATCACAGAGCAGGGACTGTAGAAGACATTTTGGCATAACTGACTTATTTGGCAAATATTTAATGTCTACTGTCCTCTGCTCTAGTTTCGTGGTGTCTGCTGCTATTACAGCAATAACAGGATAGACTTCATGGACAAAGAAAGGAAAAGTGGACATGAAACAGCTGTGGGAGCAGCAGAAGGGGGGCCCAAAGGTTGGTTATGGTGCTGCATACCTGTAACCCCAGCACTCAGGAGGCTGAGACAGGAGGATCATCACCAGTTCAGGGCCAGCCTGGGCTGCATAGTGAGTTCAAGATGAGACCCTGTTTCAAAAAAATAAAAAACAAACAAATTCAAAACCAAACAGAAGAGGGGCCCATGACAGTCTGGGGGTAGAGAAAGTCTCCTTAAGCAGCGGCACCTGAGCAGAACTGATGGGTGAACAGGGTGAAGCAGGTAGAGAGGACAGGCAAAGGGTCCACAGGGAGCAGCATGCTTGACACCAGAGCAGAAGAAGAGAAAAGGCAGGTCCAGAACATCAGGCCACAGAGAGGAGAGAAAGAATGGCAAGAAGCAAGACAGAAACTCAGTGGGCGCAGAGGGAGGGACTCGCCAGGCTTGTTATGGATTCTTATGGATTTCCTGAGGGTATGGGAAACAGTGGAAGGGGTTTAAACAGAGGAGTGACAGTATCACATTCTTTAAAACTTTTTAAATGAAAAATGTTGGAAGCAATATCTGCATATGTTAAAAACAGCAGAGAAGTCAGGTGTGGTGGCGCACGCCTGTAATCCCAGCACTTGGGAGGCTGAGGCAGGAGGGTCGTTGTGAGTTCAAAACCAGCCTGGGCTACAAAGTGAGCTCAAGGCCAGCCTGAACTGCATAGTGAGACCCTGTCTCTAAAAAGACAATAAATAAATAAATAAATAAATAAATAAATAAATAAATAAAAAATGAAAACAGCAGAGAGTGTAGGAGTGCTGAATACCACCCGTCCCTTCCCCCGCCTCACCTCACCCCATGGTTCTTCCTAGAGAAAACCACTTTTTAAACTGTTTCCTCTTCTTCCTCTCCTTTTTTCTTGGTGGTTACCTTCATATATCTAAGTGTGCACTGTCATCAATTGAGTTCTCTGGAAAACAGCTCAAATGGAGATTTGTGTGCAGCTGGCTTGCACAGAGAGGACAGGATCAACATCAACGGCAACCCTGGCGGGGGAGCCGGGAGAGAGAGAGAGGGAGGGAGGAGGTGAACTGCATCATGAGATAGCAGCAGAGGTCTCGGTCAACACTGCGGGGGTTCTCAGGCTGGCCCAGCCCTTCAGTCTTTCTGAAATGAAGCAAGGGACACAGCATCCACTTGTTAGATGTGAGCTGTTCCCAGAGACAGTTGTGAGCTTGAGTGAGGCAGCTGCTTCTGCCTGTGACAGGGCTCAGTTTTGATCCTTGGGGGACAGCCATCCCAGCAGCTGGGGAGTGAGCAGTCCCGGGGGGCATCCAAATGGGTCACTCCTGTATTGCTGGGATCCATTTGCTTCATATAATAATTTCACCCCATCCTGAAACAGCTGTTTCGGGATCCTGCTTGATCCCTTTTCTTGGAGAAGTTTTTAAAAGGAAAGTCAGTGGGACAAGTAACAATCCCACTACAGATGTTCTGGTGGCTCCATCTGATTGTCATCACCGCTATCCTTTGCTCCCTACCCCGGATCAGTGCCAGCCCCAGCTTGTCCCTCTGCTGACGAAAGGGAACACGTAGCTGGCGGAGTCTGAGTCCTTGGTCATCACGGCCTTCGCAGGTTGCTGCTGCTGCTGCTGCTCTTGCCCACTTACCATCAGCACTGCGTGGTGTGGACCAAGAGGTGTCCAGGGAGGCTTTGGGTTCTATCTGTACTCTCCCAGCTCCCCGCAGCCCATTTCCTGATGAGGAGAGATGCCCTCTGCTGGAGAGCAAAGCATTTTCTGCCTCCTGGCCTTTTGGCAGTGCTGTAGCTGCATACCATGGTTCAAGCATTCTGACTTTGGAAACCAGGCCTCTAGGAACGCAGAGCCTAGAGTTACAGCACAGGAAACACAACTGTCCTGAGGGGGTCACTGGGAGTAATGCTGATCACTGATGCTCCTACTCCCAACCCTGAGTCCTGGACACAGGCATTCCACTTCTTGGGAACAGAGTACCATATTACGGTCCTAGGTTTAAGATGTATGCAGCATCCTGAAGGACAGTACCCATCCTAGCAGGCTGTCATTTCTTTTTTTATCTTTTTGAGACAGGGTCTCGCTATGCAGTTCAAGTTGGCCTTGAGCTCACTTTGTAGCCCAAGCTGATCTTGAACTTGCAAAGATCCTCCTGACTCAGCTTCCCGAGTGCTGGGATTACAGGTGTGTGCCACCACCCCTGGCATGGCTGTTATTTCTAAACTGATACTTTAGCTATGTCTTCAAAAGGATATTCCACTGATCCATCACACCGGCAGCGTGGGGATGGTGTGGTACATGATAGGGCCAATGTATTTCATGGTCATAGGTCCATTGGCATGCCTTTTTGGTAAAGTCCCACCCCACTGGCCTATTGTTATGTATGCAAGATCCAAGGCTGATAGATCAGACAGTGTGTGAACTCTTGGACAGTCCTTTCCATGTTTGGCTTGGAAAGAGTCCAGTGTTTTCCACTCCCCAAGAAGTGACTGGCTGGTTTCCTCCAGGATGATGTCTGCCATTGCCACCACAGATGGCACACTTCATGAGGACTCCCACAGGTCCACACACATGCCCTTTCCCCAGACTTCTCTGTCTCCAGTCTTTTACTATTACACATCATTCATCACTGTCCATAAATCTCCACATAGTCTAACATTAGGCCACTTACCTTTCCACATAAAGTGGGTGTCTAGGTGCAGTGCCGCACGTTTTGCTCTTTGGGAGGATTCCCTTCACTGGGGTTCTCAAGGCTACCTCTAGGTAGGGTTGTAGGCCTGCGGCATTCCCGTTTGGGCTTACATTCACATACTGAGCTGATATCTGCCAAAACTCAGGCTTTATTTTCCTCTGTTAGCTCTCCTAGAGGAGAGCCCACCATCACCCATGAGTTGAGCTGAGGGTGAAGCAGCGTGGCTGGCATAGGAGTCTGGGCGGTGCACTGTAGCAGCTGCTTCTCATATCTTTGTATTCACACCTGGTCCACATTGTCCTCACTACGTTTTACTGTTGTGCTGTACCATCCGCTTTATGACTTGGTGGGTCTGACAGTGCTGGGTTTGTAATGGGCAGTTCTGGCTTAATGGTCAGTTGATGTCCTAGAGTCAGTCACTTAACTTCTACCAGTTTGTCTACTTTAAATTCTTGTGTCCAAGGATCGTAGGAATCACTGCTGTATTTAAATGTATATCATGATTTTTCTTTCTTTTCTTTTCTTTCTTTCTTTCTTTCTTTCTTTCTTTCTTTCTTTCTTTCTTTCTTTCCTTCCTTCCTTCCTTCCTTCCTTCCTTCCTTCCTTCCTTCCTTCCTTCCTTCCTTTCTTTTTTTGAGATAGGGTCTCACTATGAAGAGAGCTCACTTTGTAGCCCAGCCTGGTCTCGAACTCCCAGTGATCCTCCTGCCTCAGCCTCCTGACTGCTGGGATTACAGACATGCGCCACTGTGCCCAGCTATCATAGTGCTTTCATGACCTCCCTTTTTGACTTATTGAGACGGCATCTTACTATGTGGTTCAGGCTGGCCTGGTATTCATTTGTAGCTTAGACTGGCCTTAAACTCATGGCAGTCCTCCTGCCTCAGTTCCCAAGTGCTGGGATTACAGGTGTGAGCCACCACATTTGATTTAATGACCTTCCTTATGGAGGGGACCTGACTTTTCTTTTAGTTGCTGGGTTCTGGATAAGAGAATTAGCTCAGTGTTAGAAACTCAATAGAGAACTGTACCTTTTCATTGAGGAAGCTCACCTCAGCTGTCTGCTCATCTAATCTTGGATTTCTTTTGGGAAAACACATACACATTGACAGACATGGGGCGTGTATGGGGCATACTTACATTAAAAATTGTTATTTATCTGAAATTAAAATTTAAATGACCTTAAGAACACCATAGTCTAGCAGTCATTTCCAAGATTCCTGTGAGTCAGGTCTCCTAGTTGGCACCTAGAGCTTATGGCCACCTTCCTTTGCTTCTCTGGTAC